AAGCAAACTCTTGGGACAGGTGTTCTTAAATTCAGGGAGACTGACCCTTCCAAGCCATGGAAATGACTTCCCATGTTTCTCCGACTGCAAACAAAACAAACATGTCCACCCAGCACCATTGACTCTGTAAACCTCTAAACAGAACAAAGCAGATTCAAGAAAAAGGAAGGGACAAAGATCACAGTCAATGAAGAGCATAGTTTAAAGAAGGCTCTGTGGGAAGAAAGGGCATGGGAGAATGGAAGTAAAAGTTTACAAAAAGTCAGAAGCACCCACAAGGTTATGCAACTCCTTTGAACTCTTTATATCCTGGCCCCATTAATACATACAACAACTGCTTGTGACTAGGCAACAGTTTGCCAGGTGGTAACTTACTATATACGTGGAACTTCCCAGCGAGCTAGAGACACTAATTTTGTTCTCTGTATATCTGAAAAAAGTTCACTTTTACTCAAACTTCAAATGCTTAAGTAGACTTTTTGGTGATTGGTTGGTAAGGGCCAACCAGAATGGTTGTTGTTGTGGGCCTTCAAATTATTTTCAATTTATGGTAAGTTTAAAGGGAGGGGGGTTGAGAATATGAGATGTGTCCAGTGTCAGCCAGCTGCTTTCATGGTCAAGCAGAGATTCAAATGCTCTAGCTTTCAAAGATCTACTCCCTTCTTGTCAGACAGAGATGATAAAGAAATCATGCAGGACTAGAAAAATGATGGTGCATCTTGCTTGGTTGAATATTTTAAAAGGAGAGTCCATGCAGACATAAACATCAGTCTGTAATTCCTATGACCATTAAATGAGTGGGAACAAAAGTACTAAAAGAAAAGCAGTAACATTTTTATACGTATTTATTTAGTTAAAAAAACAACACCCTGCACAATTTCTTTTCCTTTTCTGTGACAAAGATGCCAGTGGGATTTGAAAACTAGCGTGATGGATGTTGTGCCTCTCACTGACCTAATAAGAGTCTCTACTTTACATTTTGTTTTGTGTCTGCACAGCTAACCTTGCATTTTGTTTGTTTTGGTCCCTTGGATTTTATGTAACTATAAATTAGCAGCATAGCCCTGGGATTGCTGTAAATATTTTCAGTATTTAAATACAATGCTTTCTGCAAAATTTTATTTCTAAATATAGGAAGAACAAGAAAAAAGTCATAAGGGCAATTGCTGAATGCATCACAGTGCAGCTTTTGTGAAATAATTGTACTCCATTAAGATCAGAAAGGTTCCAGTGGGGCAGCGTGGAGATTGTTGCTGGACACTCTTTTTTTCATATGTCTCCAATTGAAGGAAATGTTGTCTGCCAAGTTGAAATCTGATAGATCATAGGTTTCTGAAGGAAAAAGATACTTAAAACTACCACCAACAAAATTCTCAAAGTGGTGGAATTCGGTTGCTATAGTAGCGTATTAAACAAATAAATGAGATGACATGGAATGCTAAAAAATGTGGTCTGATTAAGTCATATTTGCCATATATGTGAATTAAGATTTTAGCTTAATAAGCAGGATTCAGTGAGTGCAAAGGAGAAAACTTACAAAAAAAATCTTTTGTATACTGTTCTGAACATTCATTTAGAAGAATGCAACAATAACATAATGCTAGTTGCTACAAATACAAATACAACTATAAAAAAGGAAACCCTTTGGTTTGGCACTGCCAGGCTTTGAAGGTACATCAAAAGTTACTAGGATAATGAAGCTATACTATGTGTAATACCATAACAATTACACATATTATTTTAAAATGATCAAATTAAATATGATTTGCATAGAATATGTCCAGCAGTCCTCATGAAAAGCTTGGCAGCCAGTTAAGCCTACCAGAATAAAAAGATCTTTGCTTGCTAGTGGGTGGATAAAAGACAAGGATGCAGTCTAGCTTTCCATGGGAGGAAGTTATTCAGCCTGGGAGCAGCTACTAAGAAGGTTCTCACCGAATGGGTTTATGAAGGTGGTGGTGGAACCAGGAAGAAACACGGCCCTCGGCTACTTAAATCAACCTATGAAGTCTAGAGTTACAGTTGCTGGATGGGTTGGCTTATAAAAACCGGTCCTTAAGGAAGAGCAAAACTCACAATAGGCATAGCCTCAAACCTATACATCAAATATATTTTCTCAGAAATCATGTTTTGCTCACTTTCTTGTTTTAGAACTCGGCTATTATTCAGCCAGTGTTTGCCCCCCTCCCCCAAATCATACAGGAAGACTCTTATATCTACTGGAGATACATTTGAAGACTCTCCATGGATATCTGAATCCATGGATAATAGCGAACCCTATATTTCGACTATACTTGAGCTGGAAGCTTACCAAAGAATAGCACTGGAGGACTCCAAGGAAGTCACAAATTCTTCCTGGAGGGAATGGTTTTGGTGCATGAGCAAGTGAAACCCTGTCTATCTAGTCTGCAGATAAGGGGATTATACTGTATATCATTTCCTGGTAACTAATGTCTCCAGAAACAGAAGATACTAGTTATTGGTGCGTTATATTCTTATGTCACTATCTCTTAGTGAACACCTCCTCAAAAATGTAGGTGTGGTTGAGTTACATGATAGACCTATTCTAAATTATTTAACTTAATATATTCCCTGTATCTTTACTTGCAATGTGGAAATTAATAGCACTGAACACTACTACATGACTGCCAATAACCACTCTATCTACATTTTAACACCTCACAAAAATATCTTTCAGCTTTTAACCATCTTTCCCCATTTATACCACAGGGATAATAATACTGAGTTTTATTCCTTCTCTTAGTTAAAGTCACTACAATGATGATGTTTGCACTGTTGTCTCCTATGAGGAATTGGCATTTTCCCCACTTTAAGTAGCAATATATGAAAAGCAGCCCAAAGAACTGTCAGCTTAGTAATTTCTTATATCCTGTTGAATAGTAAATTCTCAGATTCCCATTTCCTTATTACACTGCTGCCAATTTATCAATAGGTTTTTAAAAAGAAAATACATAAAATAAATAGACCGAATAACTATTGCTTGCCTCCACCCCAAAGAACATTAAACATGTTGATGCTGCTGTCTTCAGTTTTATCTAAACCATTCTTCAATTATGGTATACTGGAGTCTTGGTACTCTGTTTAGATTTTGGGTTTGCCCTGAATGATTAGATATTCAAAACTTGACAGCAATTAAAATAACACTGTGTAAGAGGGATTCAACACATTCCCTATAATCTTGATCTTAAGGCTAAAACAATTTGTGCATTCTTCTGTACCAAACATAGCTGCATGTCCATTTAAGAGCCTTTTTCATATTTGTTTTAATTCCAACCAAAGACTTTAGATTCTTTCCGACTTACTGTGTCACTTTATATTTTAAAAGGAAGGAAAACATAAAGGGAACAATCATATAAAATACAAAGAAAGTATCGTGTTATAACAACCTGGCACACCATTCCTATAATTATCAAGTTTCCAGTTCTACAAAAGCAGCCCATGTTTCCACAGAAGATTTTGCTTTCTCTGACTCCAAAGCCAACTCATCTCTTCTTGGCCACTTCACTAAGAAGGACCATCAATATTGCATGGCTGTAAACTGAACTATACAAAAGGGCTTTTTTTCAGATTCTGTGGTGCTTGGAATGTGAAACAAGCAAGTAACGCAAGTCCTTTGCATGTGAAAATAACGTTGTTGCAATATTTTTACTTTCACTGACAACTAAAAGAGTAAGAATTTGTTTTTAAAAAGGTCTTTAGCAAGGTGTCTGCAAAATTTAGGGCTGGAAGTATAGGATAAACATTTTATTTGTTGTCACATAAGCACAGCACTGGAGATCTAAGGAATCCACGACTGAGGCCTATCCATAAACTCTAGTGATGGAAGTTTGCAGTGCAATGCAACTTAGGAACTGGAGAGAGCTGGCTGTGTTGACCTAAAACATTTAAATATGTGATTGGGGCCAATAAATCATTTTGGTGCACCCTGTATTATAGACCTGCAGAAGGTCATCGGGTGCACTCTGCAATCTTTAGCAAAAAAGTGTCTGCATGTACATCTTTCAGGTATTATTTCTTCTAATGTAAATTCAGCTAAGGATGGGAAAAACCATATTCCACTGATCCACAGTTCCCTCTGGAAAGAATTAATACACTAGAACAAATAATAACAAAGAGATTTATTTTGCATTTCAAGATAATGAAAATGTCCTAACTATATGTTTCTGCTTTTGTTCTACCTTTTTATGTTAAGATTTTTAAATAACTTTTTTTTCAAAAAAGGAGGGAGTGAAAACATTTCAGTGATCCTAATAAGGCCTTTAGTTCTAAGCAGTTTATACACCCATCCTTTTGGTTATGCATTCAAATACTGCAAAATTAATTTTTCAAGTCTTTTCCCTGCAGGAAACTAACAGCAGTATTTATACTCTTTGATCGTATTTTGAGCAGTGACTGTTTTTAGTGTATCTGATTTTAACATTATTAACAGTGTTCTTTTAGTCTTTTTAAAAAAAGACAGAAGAAAGAGAATTCACACAAGACCACTGACCAGTCCCTCTCCTGTGTTCCTACCAATACAGGCAGGGTCATATAAAGATATAAAGTCCTTCAGATAACTTGAACCCAAGCCATAAATGCATTTTTTGTTACGGTGAAAACACTGGCTGAAAAATTCTGTTGATTCATGAGAGCATTCCTTTATAGAAACAGCTGTACCTTTTTGTCCAATGCAGTACATTTGCAATCAGTTCAAGGCTGCTGAAGTGGTTGTGCAAACAGTACCATTGCAACTGGATACGTCTATGGTACACATTTTCCATGCATATGTACACATGCATTTGGTTGCACATTTGCTATCTTTTAGTTTTGCAATGCTGCCATTCCACAGAATCAATAGGAACCTTTGCATGTGGAAATTTATGCTATGCAACCTTGATGGGGCACATAATTATGATCACATAATGCAATTCAATCTACACTATAATGGCAGTGTATATAGGGTCATGAAAGCAAGAAAAGTTTTTTATTGTTCTACTTACCATTCCATGATTCAGCCATGGTGGTATAAAATTATCAAGAAGCTTTGGGTAGACTAGCTCTCTGTCATAGATGTAGAGGCTCCAAAACATTGTAACAACAAACTGAGGAAGAAGAGAGAGAAACAAAAAGAAAATATTTTTATAGGAAATTACTATGTTAAGATTGATATTATGATAAGCACTGATGTACTAAAAATTCTTTTCAAAATGCACATTAAAAGGATTAGATCTGGGATGACCAATTATCTGTCCCAGGTATATGTGGCCTTTTCTGGAGTTTTAGTAGACCATAAACTGAACATGGATCAACAGTTTGATGTGGCAGTTAAAAAAGTCAATGATATTCTAGGCTACATCAATAGAAGTAATCATCATCTTCTTTCATTAGGTTTCACATGAAATACTGTCCATTACAGTAGTGAACGCTATAATTCAAGAAGGATGTTGACAAGTTAGTATGTGTCCAGAGGAGGGCGACCCAAATGGTAACAAGTTTGGAAGCCAAGCCCATTGAGGAGTGGGTTTTGGGAGCTGGGTATGTTTAATTTGGAAAAAAAGAAAGCTGAGAGGGAACATGATAGCCATGTTTTAATGTCACATCAAGGAGAGTTTTCTACTGCTCTAGAGACTAGGGCACAGAATAATTGATCCAATTTGCAGGAAAAGATATTCCTCCTGAACATTAGAAAAAGCTTCTTAACCGTTGTTAAACAGTGGAACAATGGAGCCTTGGTGGAGTCTTTTTCTTTGGAGGTTTTTAAACCTAAGCTGGATGGCCATCTATCAGGAGTGCTTTGATTATATATTTCTGCACTGCAGGGGGTTGGACTAATGGACCCAGTAGTCTCTTCCAACTCTTGTGACAATTTAATGATTCTGTTCTTTAAACACCATGGTCTCCTGAACACAAATCACTACAGTCTTCAAGAACTCATGATCCCTGTGTCCAAGGCCTAACCGAATGGTGCCCCCTATATCTTGCTTACCTAGCATACTCTATGATTCCTGGACCCAATGCAAACACAGTGTGCATAGCACGTTCCTAGAGAAACTGGGTTTTTGATGTGACAGCCTATTCATTTAATGGTATCTCTATGTTCTCATCAAGGGTCAGGGCAAGAGAAATCAATCAAAGAGCCATAGTTGAGCTTCAAGCCTTGGAGCAAAGTGCTCACTTGTAATGACCAGCCTGTGGAATCTTGCCATTGCCCAGAACATAGCAAAACTTGTTGCCTAGTTAAAATTGCACACAGTGTTTTGACAATGAGATTGGTTTATAAATAGCATTTATAATAGTGAAGCCTTAAATGTCTAATACATGAACGATAAATTTCACCCCATTAGAAAGATGTCTGTTTCTAATGCAAAGAGCTAAATGTCACAATGAGTCTAACTCTGCAAAGACACAACATACAAAACAAAAACTGTTCCTAAGTCAATGGGAATATCTTCCATTGTACTAAAGTTAAATGTTTTCCAATTGATTTTCCTAGAAAAGGGTGAGTTCAGAAGAACATGGGTAATCTGACTCTGTAATATGATAATAACAATCTGTACAATAACTCTGTAATATGATAGTAATAATCATATGAGGAATAGCTTGGATGTGAGTAGTAAAGGGGAGATTCAACAATATCAGCAAGAGTCTGGGATTTCCAGGGTACCCTGAAGCTCACCAGTGTTTGACCATGAGTGACATTTCTACCATCCTAAATACAACAAGATAAAATTTAGGTCACAAGTGTCTCAATGGGAGTTCTTTAAAGCTTTAAAAGTGATGCTATGTACCCTCTTTGCAGAAGATCTTATGCATACTTATCTGAGAGCAATTCCACTGGGCTTCATGCATCCTAGCTATGGCTGAAATAGTATATCTGACATGCATGCCAAAAGTCTCAAGCTCATGCCTTGGCATCTTCCTTTAGAAAAGGACCAGGTAGAAAATTATGTGAAAGACAACATCTAAGTTCCTGGAGATCCAGACCTATGACAACAGGTGAAAAATTGCTAGATAACAGACAAGACTTTAAGACACCTTTCTATGTTTCTCTGTTTCAACTACAGCCAGCGAGGATTCCAGCATAAAATATGCAAATATGAATTAGAATGGACACTCAACTGAAGATGAACAATCTCAGATTTCCCAACTTTATTTTCTATGCTAAGTCTGGGGCAATATTATTTTTTTTCATTTGGATAATCTGTTTTAGTAAGCAGTTTTCTCAAAGTCTGTTCAGTCTATAGTGCCCTGGTTTCCAATATATATGTCCATCAGTAAGGATGAGTACATTCATATTTGTGTCATGACAAAAAAAAAACTTAGGAAGCAAATATAAAATATTTTGCAAAGCTTCTGTCTTTCCCTTCCTCCCTCCCTCCCTTCCTCCCTCCCTCCCTTCCTTGTGCTAGTACTAGAATTGGCAGAATATCCCCATACTGTTCTTTTATCTCCCTTTCTCTCTGTTGATGTGTAGCTGAAACATTCTGAACAAAAATATAATAATAAGTTACTAGGTTTTTTAAGGTAATATGTTTTGCAAGAAGTCAGGGTGAACTTGTCACATGCATCAGAAAAGCAATTCCAGTGAAGCACTTCAAAATCCAGGCTTGATTGTCATGGATAATATTGAGTTAAACTGAACTATAAGAGAGCAAATCCAATAGAGCTGGCAAGCACATGAAGTATCTTCTGAAGCAAAAAAAAAAAAAAAAGTTACAGACTTTGCCAGTGAGGTAAAAGTGAAAAAAAAAATAATAATAGGAAGTTCCATCTGTCTCCCAAACCAAAGTCAGCCAATGGATGGAAGTGGTTCAGCAAAATTGGCTGCAACCATCTGGTGCTCCAGGTGGCAAGAGCTGTTTTAACAAAAAACTAAAATACAGGTAAGACTAGAGTACAAAAATTGTGTACCAGAGAATAATGATAATTTTAGCAAATTTTCACTCCAAAAGGTCTAGGTATTGTTTTTCTAGCTCCCCCACCCCTCTCTCTCTTTATATATCATTTCCACCTAAAACAAATGTGCAAGTGATTTCAGATGAGTGAAAAATAATGTGGGTCTTACATTTCATATTTCAGAGCAGTTTGCCTGGATTTTACTATTTCAAATTTTGTACACTATTAGTGTGTCAGCAAACAAAAAAACCCCCAAATATAAAACAAAAACAACAAAAACAAACAAACAATAGCTGGAAGGGGGAGGGGAGAGAAGGACATTGGAAACTACACAAAGCAGAAGGGAAAGAACAAAATCCTTCTTCAGAAAACCAGTGCCTCCCCTGCCCACTCCCACAAATGGGAACACTAGAATCAATGTGAAATTATAGCACTTTCATGCCATTGTTTTATGTGGAAAAAAGGTGAAACACAGACACTGGATTTTATGAGCTATACTAAGAGCCATTTCTTAATTATTGCATTACTCTATTCATTTATTTATTTATTGGCTGGTCTTCTTGTATGTCAGATTTAGTCTGATTTATTATTTGTTCCAAGAAATGTATTGTTTTTACTATATTAATGTAGGTGGCCTTGTGAAAGTTTGTTCTTGTGAAAAATAAGTACAAAAACATGTAACAGTATAGTTTGTCCCGTTTTTAACAGTCGCACAGTTTTAATGTGTTGTTTTGCAGGACATAGCAAGAAAGTAGTCATACAGGAAAAATCTTCTTTCCTGCGACAAAAGGCTTACATAATCATGCCCAACTGCTCATTGAAATACATGTAAATAAGCCTTTTGAATCTGCATAATACATGAGATTGTGACATGACTGCAAAGTCATGCAAAATTAAAATGTGAATTTCTACATCTCTTATGGATATGTTGCAATAATCAGAATGAAGTTAGAAAACAGATCTTCAATCATGGCCTGCCTTGTCATACACCAACTCACAAGCTACTAATCTATAAAGAAGTCTTGGGAAGTATATGTTTGGACACATCCAACTACTTTGTAACATCCAGCTAAATTTCATAGCAGCATGGGGAATGCTATGAATAATACCCACAAAACAATGTTTTCTTCCATGGTGAAGAAATTTTTCCATTTCCCTGTTCTACTTTAAAGCCTTGGAAAACAACATGACAAGTTGTCATCTTACTTAAGAATTTAAAACAAGGAAACAAGAACAGTTTAAGAAGGAGAATGAGAAAAAATGCCCCCCCCCCCCCACACACAAAAGAAGACTGGATAAATTGGTGAAAAAAGCAGCTTCAATGTGTCTTTTTTTCTGCTTCAGTTTTACATTCAGGTGTCCATTTAATATACATAGTTAAGCATGCAGTCTTCATAACTGGGAGCAAGCTTCATTGAACTCTGTGATGCTTCTCATTACACACATGGGATCACAGTGTAGAGCTTTCAAGCAAGCTTACGTATTCTCTGTTATTATTACCCCCTCCATTCAAATAATATGCAACTGGAAATAGTTTAAAATATATTATCTTTTTTATTTGCGTCATAGGGCTGCCATAACTGAATTCCCCAGAGCAATGAGTAGTCATGAAGCTGGCACATTTGCTCCTTTTGCTACTGAAGAAAAAAACAGTTTCCCTCTCACTCGCAGCAGAGTGAACCTTTCTTCATTGATCTTGAATAACGTCAATAGACAGAGTAAGTGGGAGGGAAGTTCATAATCCCATCTTTGAGGCTCCTGGCTACTTGGTTCCCTCTTGGTAGGATAGGTCTGAGTTAAAAGCCTGTGCTTCGCCCTCTCCTTTCATTATCACAGGCAGCAAGACTGTGGTATCTACTGGGGGTTGTTTCCAGGACCCTTTGTGGATATCAAAATCCAGGGATGCTCAAATTCCATTATATACAATGGCATAGTAAAATTGTATCCTTTTATATATAAAGATTTGCTTTTTGGAATATTTTTGGAGGAAGCAGGAGTAAGAATACAGCTACTTAAACCAATTCCAGAATCATTGGACCTTGATAGCGACTCCAGATTAAACTATGTGTGGATGAGTGGTCACAGAGTGAGTACAAAAAATAGGGAAAAAAACATGCTTTAAATAAGTATTTTTCTTTTCATTGGATGCTAGCAATTAGAAGGCACAGTGCAGTTATTCCATCTTTTTTCCATCGTGGATTTTCTG